CCCCTATTAAGTGACTTTTATCGATTTACTTAATAGAATTTTGACTTTTATATATAGAAACTACTTCTGGATTTTAAGAAATTATCAGAGGTAGCTTATTTTCAAAATAACAAATTTTCTTATGTTTCTTCTTCAAGAAAAAAGGGGTAGCTTATTTTCGGAGGTGGCTTATTTCGGCAATATACAGTAATACTGCATTTCTTGCATAAACAATCCAGATAATCTATTAAATAACCAGATATCTATCTATTAATCTATTTTAACTGTTTATCTATAAAAATTAGATATCTAATAAATAAATAAATAAACAGTTAATGGATAGGATCTTATAGGTATATTGTAAATAATTGTTGGTACATAATTGTGATTAGTTTTTACTTAAAATCATCAGCAGTAATTATCACCACACTTATTTATTTTTAGAGTTAGAGTTAGGGTATTAAGAATTATTTTTTTTATATAAAATAATATAGAGCTAATATAAGATCACAATTTTAGTTTTTATAAGGTTTTCAGAGGTTCTAAATATTTTACTTAAAGTACCTAATCCAGTTTACTTAGTACGTTTTTGAGATATAAACACCTCAGTAATGGTTATTACTGGTAATAGTTAGTAAAATTCATTGTGATTTATCATATAATTGTACTATTTGATATATTGTAGTGATTTATTGTGTGATTTTGTTTAATGTATTACTATGATTTTGTATATCATATAGTCACGAAATAACACGCAGAGACGTTATTTTGAATTTCAGCCCGAATTAAGCTTAATTTAGGCCAAAATTCAAAATTACACACCTGCGTATTATTTTGTGACTATATAGTATGATATTATAATGTATTTGAGATTAGCAAACATTAGTTAATATTTAAGAGAGATAAGTTTTTTTCCAAAAAGAGTAGCTTCTGTTTTTTTTGCTAATCTGACTTTGTTTGGTTTTTTCACCCACTCTACTCAGCTTTATGCATGATTATATAGTGATTTAAGAGTTTTATTTTGAGGTTGACAATTATTATTTTAACTGATTTTTGGTTAGTTTATAGTCTGTCAAACAACAGTCATAAATTTTGTATTTTAGAAGTGGCCTGTTAGGACAATACAGTAGTCACAATAAAGTTTTCTTATTAGTTGTATATAACCTGTCAAAGCAATAGTTACAGAGAAGTTCTCTTGTTTTGAGTATATAGAAGCAGTCTGTTAAGATTTTCTATATAAGATAACTTGTTAGAATGACAGCTATAAAAGATTTTTATCACAGGCCTGTTGGGACAACAGTCATAAAAAATTTTTATTGCAGGCTTTTCATGGCACTTATTTTCAGTATTAGAGTAATTGTAGAGAACTTGGGTTTTTTCCAGATAGAATTATCTGAGTTTTTTTGCCCACCTCCTTGAAATATACAATGGTTTTAGAAATTATTAGCTTTTAGGACAAATATTTTCAGGGTTTTTTTCAGAAAGGAGAAACCATGACCTACCTGATAATACTTGTCTTTAAATTTGGTAATAGAAAGTGGCCTGTTGGGATAACAGTTACATTTTGAGTTTTGTGGTAAAAGTGACCTGTTGGGATAACAGTCATATTTGGAGTCTGTTATAGTAGATATGGCCTGTCAAGACAGCAGTTGCATTTTGTGGTAAAAGTGGCCTGTTGTTGTATAATAGCATTGAGCTTCTGTTTTTTCTGCTAACCCAACTTTGTTTGAACTTTTCGCCCACCCTACCGGGCCCTTGCACATAATCGCATAGCAACTTGATAGTCTATTTAAGAACCCATTAGGTTGATATTTATTGTTTTTTAGCTGTTTTTGGTTAGTTATGACCTGTCGAACGACAGTCATATGTTTTGTTTTCTTTAGAAGTGGCCTGTCAGGATGACAGTCACAGTGAAATTTTGTTGTTAGTTGTGTAGCCTGTCAGGACAACAGTCACAAAAAGCTTTCTAAAGTTTTTTTGTATATATTGAAGTGGCCTGCCAAAACAATAGGCAAGAAGAAATTTCTTATGTGTTTTTACAAAGGAGTGGCCTGTCAGGACGATAGTTATGTAAGATTTTTGTTTTCTAGTATTAGAGTAATTGTAAGGGAACTTAGAGTTTTTCCAGATAGATCTATCTGGTTTTTTTCGCCCCGCCCCTTGCAACATACAAGAGCAATTACATTGGAGTGGCCTGTCAGGACGGTCACAGTAGCTTTTGTGTACAGTTTTTTACATAGTTAGTAGTTGTAGGGGAACTTAGGTTTTTTTCCAGTTTTTTTCGCCCGCCTCTTGCAACATACAAGAGCGATTACATTGAAGTGGCCTGTTGGGACGACAGTCACAGTAGATTTTTGTGTGCAGTTTTTACATAGCACGCGTTTTTAGTTTTAGTAGTCATAGGGGAACTTAAGGTTTTTTCCAGATGGAATTATCTGGTTTTTTTCGCCCCGCCCCCTGCGATGTGCAATAGCTTTAGAAAACCGTTAGTTTTTAGTACTTTCATTATTTTCGATACTTTTGAGTTCTGCACTGTTAGTAGTATAGCATGTATAGCATGTATAGCACGTGAGTGAAAGGGACAGATAACCCATAGTTGCTTTTCTTTTGTAGCACCCCTAGATGAGGGACAAACCTCTTGTTTAAAAATTCACAATGCTACGCATATGCTATTTTCAGTGCGAAGTAGCGAGTGCTATAGGTTGCCTATAAACAAAAAATTACTTTTAAAATTTTAAGTATTATTGACGAAAAAAAATTTAAACTTTCGCTAACGACTCCATAAGTTGGTTCCGTTGCTGTTGCGACAAAAAATTTAAATTGGTAAAATTAGGCGAGACCAACTTGATTTTGTGTGTTTTACATTAACCCCTCTACATTTTGGATGAGAGGGAGGGGTGGGGAAGATTCGAGCATATTATATTATAGATATTTTTTTGCCCTACTTTATAATTATTTATTTTCTCTAATCTTTAATTTTTTTCTATTTTGGAACTTCCAGCATTTTTTATTGAATCTTGCTCATGCTCGTATTTTAGGTTCATTTACTGTCTATATCGGAAAATTCTAGGTCATCATCTGGTTTATATTTATTTTTACTGTAAAAATTTTTTTGAAAATATCTGCGATTATAAAAACTTATATCTATTAAACTTTTTTTTTTTAATAAGAAAGAGGAGAGAGTCTGGAGGAGGGGGGAGGTAATGTAAAACATAGAATCAAATTGGTCTCGCCTTATTAAAAGGAGAAGCCGACGCAACTAAAGTTAAAGCTTTGGAAGCTGGTTGGATAAATTTTTTATTAAGGTTTTTTTAGAAAGCATAACGAAAATTATGAAAATAGTAAGAGTACGTTCAAGCATTTTAATTCTATAAATATCGTTATTTAATCAATTAATTGAGATGCTTGAGAACATCCTTATTTAGGATTTTATTAAAATATAGATTTTTAAAATTTAAAGAACATAATAATTAAGGCTCCAGCCTTTGAAACATTTCCATTTTTCTAGTATAAAAATCGTGTAACAATACTTTATCAATATAAGTAAGATTCCTTTCCACATTAACTTACACTAAATTTATCTGCTAATCGCCTAATTTCGTTCATTTTTGATTCTCGATGGATGCTACTTATAATAATCTCGCAATATATCTCGCAGAAAAGATGTCGTCAGTATAGATCAAAAGTCAATTGTTTTTTTATTTTAATTTTGGTGGTTTAAATATTTTCAATAGAAGTCATCCATCCCACGACCGATTCCTTGTCGCTATTGCTGGAATACCGGGTGCAGGGAAGTCTACTTTAGCAAAAACTCTTGTTGAACGTGTAAATGAACTTATGGGAAAAAATGTTGCTGTAGTGGTACCAATGGATGGGTATCATTATCCCAAGAAAACGTTAGATACATTTCCAGTATGTATAAAAATATGACATATTATCGCGAAATAATAGCTTGCAAGTTATTTTGAATAATGGTCCAAATTAAGTTTAATTCGGGTTATTTTTCGTGAATGACTTGTGTGCTCTTCTTCGCGACAATAAAGTAAGTAAATCTTGATTCGAATATTCGTGTAAAATTTCGGTTAAAATCTTAGGAACCTACAGAAGCCCATGCCCGGAGAGGTGCACATTGGACGTTTGATGCTCAAGGTTGGATTATATTGGTAGATTGTTATTAATTTGAGGAATGTACTTTCTCAAATTTGAGCTAAATTAGTTATTGATCGAATTTGGTAAAGGTCTTCTTACTTTGGTAGAAGCTCTCCGGCGTCCTATTGATGACGGTCAAATAATAACTGCACCATCGTTCGATCATTGTAAAGGTGATCCTGTCGAAAATGACATTAAAATATCACCAAGGTTGTATATAGTACAGTACATATGTTTATATTGAATACTATTAAGATTTACTTTATTCTTGTTGCTTTGGCATAGTCACAAATTGGTGATAATGGAAGGACTTTACCTCCATTTGAAAGAACCTCCAATTTGGAGATCAATTGCATCACATATGGATGAGCTATGGTTTCTACATATAGATCATGAAATTGCAAAGAAAAGAACGATCAAGAGGCACATTCAAAGTCGCATTGGTACGTTTTTTTCGTTATTTTTGATCTATATTTTTGACGAAATTTCTCATCAACCATTGACCTCGAATAGCTGAAACTGAAGAACAGGCAATTTTTAGAGTAGAAAATAATGATATGGTGAATGCTAATTATATTTTAGAAAACAGTTTGACGCCAACTCGTACAGTAATTGTCGTTGATGAGCCTGCTCATACTATTTGAAATGTATTAAAAATTTTAATTATTATACAATTTGGGAAAGACTTCAAAAATTAAACTAGATAATTGTAAGAGATAATTTTATTAAATTCGTCTCTATCATCAGGTGTAACGTGAAGGTTTGGGTCAAAATCCCGACAAACAAAATCCCGACAGATCATAATCCCGACAATCAAAAAAGGTTTTCCTTGAGCAATTTTACTATAAAATCGCCTAAACCCTAACCCTAACTCTAACCAAGTCACTCACCCAACTTAAATAAACTTAATAATTTTTTGTTGTCGGGGTTGTCGAGATTTTTACTGTCGGGATTATGGCCTGTCGGGATTCTGTTTGTCGGCACCCAACGTGAAAGGGCGATTGGCGATTTTTTTTAAAATGAATCTCTTTTTTTTTCTTTTTAGCTAAAATACATTAAGTACAATGAAAAATAACAGGAGATTTTTTTTCGCCGGAGTTAATGTTATTCCATGTGTCGCATAGCAGTACATGTAGAGATGGGCAAGTTTAGTAAAGTATTATTATTTCATTTTTTGCGTAATAAGTAAGAATTATGATATAAGCAAAAAGCTTAATCCGATCAGCAAATTTTTGAGTTTAAAA